ACTCTTGGCTCTTCTCCGTTGATGGTCCTAGAGACCTCTGTTCCTAGACTGGAGAATTAATCACTCCCTTCCTTGCTACAAAACGTCTACCTTTGCATTTCCAACCCTCATAATCAGTCCTGATAACCATTATTTCACTACAGTATCACGAGTTACCCATCTGTATTTCATTTCATCAGCTCCACCTAGACAGATTGGATAGTACTCACTGGAGATTCTGGGCATATGATTCTTGGTTAGCAGATTTTTTTTCTTTCAGAGTTTTTCATATGTCTCTCCATTGTCTTCTTGCCTGTATAGTTTCTTCTCAGAAATCAGAGCTTAATCTTCTTTGTTGTCCTTTGTAAGTAAAACTTCTTTTTCCCCTAGCTGCTTTCAGGATCATTTCCTTGTCTTTGATTTTAGAGAGTTTGCTTATGATATATGTTGATGATATTCTTTTGGGATCTATTGTCTCTGGGGTTCATTCAGCTCCTTGAATCTTCTCTTCTTCAAGGTGTTAGGAAAATTTTCTCACATCAACTCTTCATCTGTCTCTTCTGTGTTTTTCTGTTCTGGAATTCCTGTTCTGGAATTGCAGTCTCCCGTAGGTTTTCCTCTTCATGTTGTCCCACATGAATCTTAGGCTTTCTTCAGATTTTTTTTCATTCTTTTTTCTGCTTGTTTTCCTATCTTAACAGCATCAAGAGATTTATCTTCAAGTTTGGTGATCCTGGCTTTCAATTCTCACTTCTACTCCTTTGCCCTTTCAGTGTAATGTCCCTTTCTGATATTTCAGTACTGATCATCTAGAGCTCTTTTTGAAGGTTTTGTATTGCCTTAAATGCTATATCTATTTTGTTTGATTGTTCCTGTAGCACTTTCCTAACTTCTTCCGTATTTTCCTCAACCTTTCTGTGGAACATTTAGATGCACCTCAATAGCATTCTCCTGAATTCTTTTTCAGATAATTTGAGAGCCTCTTATGCCAATGCAATTATTACTCTTCCTGTTGGTTGTTTATTTGAGCTACTCTCTATTGCTTTTGCATATGAGCACAAATTTTCTGTTGCTTTTTTAGGTATTGTGGTGTTGTTTTATTTATATTAATTAGATGGTTGTATGTTGAAGTATTGGTTAAGTACTCTCCAATTGCCTTCTTGTAGGTGTGATCAGGAGATGGCCTTCTCTGTTCACTGCTCTTACAGTTCAATTCAGAGTGTTTTTATCAGGTGTTGTTTATAGATGCTGCTCTGGTGTATAGCAGCTGGCATTGGCTCTTGTGCAATTGGTGGTGTTTTAGAGGGTGCAATGGAAGCTTTGCTATGTGACTCTCTCATCAGGTGAGGCAATAAGATAAGATAGAAAGAGGACCAAAACACAAGACCTAAAACAAAAGTCAAAAGTCATAAAAAAAAAAAACAAAAAAAAAACAGGAAAAGACAAACAAACATATATATATAGCTCTGGTAGCTTAGTGGTTATGAATTGGGCTGTGAACCTCAGGGACAGCAGTTCAAAACTACCAGCTGTTCTGTGGGAGAAAAATGAGGCTTTTTGTTCCTGTAAAGATTTACAGCCTCGGAAACCCTGTACCGGGTCACTATGAGTCAGAACCAACTCCACATCACACAACAATAACAACAACTATATATATGCAATTTTCTGTTGTTTTATGCTATCAAATCAGTTCTGACTCCTGGCCAACCTGTTAGGATTTCCAAGGAGTGGCTGATGGGTTTGAATAACCAACCTTGTGATTAGCAGTCCAGTGCTTATACTACAATGTCACACCAAGACTCAATGAAACTTGAAAAGGAAAAAGGAAAGAAAATAAAAATTGGGAAGATGTGAGTAGTTCTTTGGCGTCACCTAATGAATTCTTGCCTTCAAAGCCACCTGAGAAATTTCATGTTGTTCCTATTGTGCCTTTGTGATCTAACACAAGGTTTTTTTCCCCTCCTGTCAATTCCTTTCAGCTGTTTCTCCTAGTGACAACCAGCCCAGAGCTGGCCAGACCCGCTTTGAAAGAGACTGCTGGTACAGGCTCTTTCTGTTGTGTCCTCCCCCTTTGATTCTGCACCCAGAGACTCACAGGGTGCAGATTCTCTCATGCAAATCCTTCCGCACAGCACAGAACCTTCCCTGAGGGTGTCTACTTGTACAGGCCTCCCCTCCAGTAACCAGAGCAGAGATGAGTCAGAGAGCAAAAGAAAAGAAGGATAAGGGGGAAAACTATTTGCATCTTTGTCTCTGTAGATCGCTGGTAGTAGTCTTGCAATGGGAGTGCTCTCTTGACCCGCTATCCGCTCACTCCGATTCAAATTGGTAGTGGTGGGACATGCTGGCCACTCCAAATCAGAAGTCATCTCCTTTCTTGTTTCTGTTCCAAATCTTACTCCTGTAAGCACTCGATCCACTTATTTATCCCTGTATCTGAAGTTCAGAGTTATGGGACCATCCACTGAGTCTGTTCCATCTGGTTTTCTGTGTTTTTGCTGATGGATGTGGGGGTCTGCACAACCATTCCGCCTAGTCTGCCATCAAGCCCTGCCTCACAATACCATTTCTTTTGGGATTCATGTTCTGCAGATATTTTTCCCAGTCTATAAGTTTCCTATTCATTTTCCAGTGGCATACTTTGATGAGCAGAATTTCATAATGATGTCTAATTTAAGAATCTTTCCTTCAATGTTTATTGTTTTGTATGTCTTATCTAAGAGACCTTTGCTTACTATCAAACCATAAATATATTCTATGTTTTCTTCTAGAAACGTAATAATTTTAGCTTTTGTGTTTTGGTTCATGATCCATCTCAAATCAATTTGTTAAATATTAGAAAGTAGGAGTTAGGGATCAAGATTTCCTTTTATTCGGTGTGGCTCTCTAGTGTTTTGAGCAACACTTATTGAAATACTTTGTTCTTCCCAATATATTGCTTTGTAACTTTTGTCAGAAACCTAACTGGTTATGTAAATATTCATCTGTTTCCCAATTCTTTATTCTAGTCGATTGTTCTGTGTGCCTGTGCCATTACCACACTGTTTTGATTATTGTAGCTTTATAATACATTTTAAACATTTCTCTTCTTTTCTAAGATTTCTTTAGCTATTCTGTTGTTGTTCTTAAGTTCCATAGAGGTGGTTCTGACTCACAACAACCCTGTGTAGAATTTCAAAGTAGCGGCTGGTGGGTTTGAACCATCAACCTTATGGTTAGCAGTACAAAGAGCTCTGGTAACATAGTGGTTATAAGTAGGGCTGCTAATCTCATGGTCAGCAGTTCGAAAATACCAGAAGCTCTATGGGAGAAAGATGAGGCTTTCTTTTCCCATGAAGATTTACAGCTTTGGAAACCCTATACAGGGTCAGAACTGACTCCACGGCACATAACCACCACCACCATGTATCCTATGTGCCACACCCACTCCTTGAATATTCTAAATCCTTTAGATTTCCATACAAAATTGAGAATGAAATTGTCAATTTCTACAAAAAAAAAAAAAAAAAGTGTTGAAATTATGATTGGAGTTCTATTGACTCTGTAGAATGAATTGGGGAAAAGTGATCTTTTTACAATAGTGAATCTTCCTGGTTTGGCACTGTAGGATAAGCACTATACTGCAAGGTTGGTTTGAACCATGAGATCAGCATTTCAAACTCACCAGCCACTCTTCAGAAAGTCTATACAGAGTTGCTGTGTTGGAATCCACTGAACAACACGTAACAACAGCAAAAACCATCCATGAACCTGCAGGGTCTTTCCATTTATATGTTGTTGTTAAGTGCCGTTGAGTCTATTCCAACCCATAGCGACCCTGTATAGGGTTTCCAAGGAGCAACTGGTGAACTTGAACCACCAAACTTGCAGTTCAAACGACTTTGCAGTCTGATGCATTAATTAGCCCACAGCGCCACACCAGGACTCCTTTCCATTTATATAGATTTTCTTGTATTTCTCTCAACATTGTTTCGTAATTTTCAGTGGACAGGTGTTGCCTATATTTTGTTAAATTTATTTCTAAATATGTCATTTTTATGCTCTTGTCAGTAAATTTCTATTAATTTTTTCTCAAGTGTTAACTACTGTCATATGATTCACTTTTGTGATGTAAAATCTTGTATGCACTTTTCATGAAAAAAAAAAAGTAAGCCAAAGATTGTTTCATTCATTCATTTGAAAAGGCAGCAGAGACATGGGGTGGCTTGAGCTCCTGCCTGTGAGCTGAGGAACCACATTTCAAACCCAGTCTGCCTCTTGAGAATGATAGAATCTATCAGAATATCAGAACTTACCTCTCTATTCATTGCAGTCTTTCCTGTAATACCTATGGAGATAAAATTCTGGTTCACTAATGCCTTAAATGTTCATACACTGACACACAAAGTTTTGCATATAATTTTAGGATATTCAGGGGGACTCTGAAGCATGTTTATGAGCCTTTGGCATCGTAAACCGTATTCTAAAGCAAGCTCGATGAGGGAGGGCTGACTTCCTTTGCTTCTGTGTCTCCAGCACAGTGCTGCCCAGTAGATGCCAGGTGTGGACAGCCCAGAAGTGCCACACCATGGCCTCCTGCTAGCTGACCTTCCCATCAGACAAGCACTAGATGTTCAGTGGTCCTGGAGTGCCCCATGCCCAGCTGGGGGAAACATATGGGTTTCTGTATCCGCAGAAACTGACCTCTCCATCTGCTACCACTGAGTATCCCCTGAGGGACACTGAGCGGGACAGTTTGTCCAAGCCCCCTGCATTCCTGCACAAGCCCCCGCTCCTCCATTTATGTGATTGCGGTCGTCCTGGTGGGTCACCACCATCTTCCTGCAGAGTCTTCCGGGGCTGTGCTCAGTGCTGCCTGCTGCACCAACCCCACCCTGGGAAATCACCTCATGGGAGCGCTCCCAAGAAGGACTGCACGGTGACCCTGCCCGCAGCTTCCAGAGTCTATCACCAATAACTTGCTTTTCTGTCCTCATACAAGCTGTGCCAGCAGTGACAGGTGCCTATTTGTTCCCTTGCAGGTGACACAGACATGGGCAGCAAACCGTCCACACCAGGTAGTGATTGCATGGTGATGTCCCCCCGGACAGAGGACATCCACAGTGCCTACAAACAGGGCAACGCCACCAAGGCCCGGGACCTGGTCAGAGAAGCCTGCGACAAGAGCACATTCCAGCAGGAAAAGGTAGGCGGAGCGCCATTGCCCAGTCTGTAACATGGTTGGAAGTGGATGGACTGACTGTCATCATAATCACCATGGGGGTTGTAAATTGTGTTTGGTAATGCCTCTCTGGTAGCGTGGTGGTTACGAGTAGGGCTACTAACCTCACGGTCAGCAGTTCGAAACTACCAGCTGTTCCGCAGGAGAAAGATGAGGCTTTCTGCTCCCCGTAAAGATTTACAGCCTCAGAAACCCTGTACAGGGTCACACTATGAATCAAAATTGACTCCAGGGCACACCACCACCACCATTTCACATGTAAATTACTGGGACGTACCTCCTACTTGACTTGGATTCTGCTTTGTCTCATCCTGCTTTACCTAAGCAAGGGACTCATCAACCCCCCACTGGCGGCCTTGTGGGAGCATGGGAGGGGTTAAATGTACTTAAATGTAAAGGGCCAAATGCCAAGCTGAAGGTTTCACCTGCTGCCCTCTTTTATACTTTTTTTCATTCTACATATAGCACGTGCTCAAGAAAAGAAAGAAAATATACTCATATAAAAGTAAGAAAGAAACCATGTTGCTAATAGACCCATACAATCCTACTTAACAGTTTGGTCTATCTATTTCTTCCAGCGTACTGATTTGTGCATATGTTTGATTGTTCTTGTTAAGTGCCATTAAGTTGGTTCCAACCCATACTGACCCTGTATAGAGTTTCCATGAGTTGTGGCTGGTGAATTTGAACCACCAACCTTGTGGTTCAAACCACCTTTGCAGTCCAATGCATTAACCCACAGCGCCACACCAGGATATTATAACTCATCAAAGTGTACCCGTAAAGGGTGAATTTACTTTTCCATCCATCAATTTGTTGTACTGTGCTATGTTGCAGCAATGCTAGAAGCTATAATACCACAAGTACTTCCAGGACAAATAGGGTCACCATGCTAGATAGGTTTTGGCAAAGCTTCCAAACTAACACAGACTTGGCAAAAAGGTCTGGAAATAAATCTTCAAAACTCAGTCAACAAAAACCTTATGGATCAATTCTGAGCTGTGTCTCGGGGCCTGAAGAAAAATCCTTGGATTGTTTTCCTTGCCTTGGCTGGTGATAAAATGTGCTGTATGGTGGGATCTCCGGAGCTGAGGTGCTTGAGAGGGAAAGTGGAGTTCTCGACCTCAGTCCCTCAAAAGAAGATAAAACAAAAGTCTCCTTGCGGCTTTCTAAAACACTCCATGAAGCGACAGAAACTTCTTCTTCCTCTGGAAACTAATGGCGACTTACTGGTTCATCCAAACTTTTCGCTGTTCATTCATCGATTAGCAGAAGCGCCTAGGATAAATGCTTACAAAACAAGTGTGTAATAATTTAAAAGGACCATGTCAAAGATGAGGCTTTCTACTCCCGTAAAGATTTACACCCTCGGAAACCCTATACAGGGTCGCTATGGGTCGGAACCGACTCGATGGCACATAACAACAACAACAACAATGTCCTTGCTGCAGTGAAGGTAATTCTAAAGAAGAGCAGAGGTTTGAAATCAACGAACACAGTCTTGAAAACTATGTGATATATTATTTTAGGGGGTAACAGGAGGTGAAACCACTTTTCAAATATCTATTAAAATATTGGATAGTTGAAGGATATATTTGTATATTTTTCTACTGGCATTGAAATATTTCAGATAAACACATAAAATTATTTAACCATTTTGAACTATTATGGCTTATTTGAAGTGAACTCTTCCATTTTGGTTGTCATTTTATTGCACATTTTTTTAATATAAAAATCAAAATTTACAATATTAGTACTGCGGGTTAATGTGCTGAATTGCAAAGTCATTTTGAACCACAAGGTCGGCAGTTCAAGTTTACCAGTTCAAGCTCAACAGCTGCTTCTTGAAAACAAAGTTGCTGTAAGTCAGAACTGACCTGACAGCATTTAACAGCAAAAATAAGTCTTTACTTACTGATTTTCTCATTAGCAGCCATTCATATTTATGATGATAGTAACAAATCTGCTATTCAGACATTTTGTTCATCCAGCATGAATATCTGTCAGTAATGCTGAGATGCAAGGCAAGCATAAGGTGATGGTTAAGGATATGTGTCAACTTGCCTGGGACATGATTCTCAATAGTTTGGCAGTTATATAATGGATTAATTTGGCAGTTACGTAATATATAGTTATTCTCTATTTTGAGATCTGATGAGGTCACTGTCCATTTTTGCATAATGCCAACTTTCACATAATGAACTGTTTTTTGGAACCTAACCATGTTCATAAGTGAGGAGTACCTTATAAATATATGTACCTTATAAATATATGTATATTTATATATATACATATAAATACATATGTACATATTAAATATAAATATATGTATATTTATATTTATCCATAACTGGCTATGAAATTACTCTCTGAAGAAAGATAACATACAGCCAAATCTAGGTATATTTTTAAGTATTAGTTTAAATTTGTTTCTTCCTTTCACATAATCAGTGCTTTTGTGTTGTTCTTGTAATAATTACAAAATTTCTCAACTGGAATATTGCAAACATGAAGTTTTTTCAAAACCTGGTTCTAAAAGTAACTCCTTTCTTCCTCCCCAAAACAAAAGATAGAAATTGTGGAACAAACAGATTTATTTTTGTCAAGTCACACAGTTTACTTCATGGGTGTGTTTTCTCCCTGCTACAACATCCTTTAGAAATTTATTGCTGGACAACACCTAACAACAACAACCACTATGATGAAGATATGTTGTTGTTATGTGCCGTGGAGTCGGTTCCAACTCATAGCGGCTATTAATCTTTACGGGAGCAGAACGCCTCATCTTTCTCCCGCAGAACCGCTGGTAGTTTCGAACTGCTGACCTTACGGTTCGCAGCCCAATTCGTAACCACTATGCTACCAGAGCTCCTTATGATCAAGATATAGAACTATTCTATTACACCAAGACCTTCCTTGTGCTATCCTTTTATACTTACACCCGTCACTCTGGCCCCCATTCCTAACCTTTGGCAACCGCTATTTGTCTAATTTCGTCATTCTGAGACTGTTATAAATGGAATCACATAGGATATACCTTTTTGAGATTGACTTTTTTTTCACTGAAGTCTTGAGATACACCCAAATTGCTACATGTATCAATGCTTTATTTGGTCTTGTTGGTGAATAACATTTCCTGGTATGGAAGTACCTGTTTGTGTAATCATATTCCCATTCAGAGTTATTTTAGATATTTCTAGTTTTGGGCTATTGCAAATAAAACTGCTGTGAATAACCATAAAAAAAATACAAAAACCTTATGGATCACAACACTCACATGGGACTGTCATCAGTGGGGATCAGTCACTTGGAGGAGGACATCAGGTTGGTGAAGTAGAGGGTCAGCTAAGATAAGGGACACCATCTTGGTCAAATGGATTGACACAATGGCCACAGAAATGGCTCAAATGTGCTGGCAATGGTGACGATAACACAGGACCAGGCAGTGTGTTAGCTTGTTGCCTATAAAACCACCATGAGTGGGAGCCGACTATTAATGTGATAGTTAATGTTACTTTTGTCAACTTAGCTATACCTCAGTGGTTTGACATCATTTTCCATTTAGTGATTTCATGCAAAGCGCTCTCTCTTTTTAAATTTCGTTTAATTTGAAGTTTTTATTGTGAACTGAGTGAAGGTTTACAAGGCAGATTGTCAGTTGTACATTCAACAAACCGTACTTTGTTTCATTGCAGTGATTGCAATCCCCTTCATCAGTTAACAATATTTACCTCTATTCCCAGAAATACACATACAAAACAAAAAATATATATTCATTTAGGTGTCTGAAGGGCACATTTTACAAGCTCGCCTCCTGCCTGCAGCCACACAGCCTTTCTCAGTCCCTGAACCTAGAGTCCTCAGCTGCTCTATCGCTCTATGCCATCGCCTCTGCCACCATCTCTGCTGTCACTGGCAAAGTGCTCTCTTGCTTCTGCACTGGTCCCGTCTGACTTCCAATTTTGGGGGCGTTAAAAGCCTCCAGCCTAACATTTGTCCTGCAAATTTTGGGTTCCCCATCTTCTGCAACCCTGTGAGCCAGCAGCCTGTTGTTTAACCCATGAGTTTGGGATTTGCCAGATCCATTCAACTGTGTAGAGGATAACAAATTATGGGTGGCATTGGGAAAATTGAGAATTCTAAAACACTTAATTGTGCTCATGAGAAAACTGTACATAGACCAAGAGGCAGTTGTTCAAACAGAACAAGGGAATACTGTGTGGTTTAAAATCAGGAAAGGTGTGTGTCAGGTTGTATCCTTCTCCATACTTACGTGATCTGTTTGCTGAGCAAAGAATCTAGGAATCCAGATTATACGGAATCAGGATTGGGAAAAAGCTCATTAACAGCCTGGGATCTGCAGATGGCACAACCTTGCTTGATGAAAACAAAGAGGACTTAAAATACTGATGAAATCAAAGAATACAGCCTTCAGTATGGATTGCATCTCAATATAAAGAAAACAAAAATCCTCACAACTGGACCAATAAACAACATCATGATAAATGGTGAAAAGATTCAAGTTGTCAAGGACTTCATTTTACTTGGACCCACAATTAATGGCCATGGAAGCAGAAATCAGGAACTCAAACATATTGCATTGGGCAAATCTGCTATTAAAGATCTCTTTAAAATGGTAAAAAAAACACAGATGTGACTCTGAAGATTAAGATGTGCCTGAGCCATTCCATGGCATTTTCAGTCACCTCATATGCATGCAAAAGCTAGACAATGAATTTTAAAGACCAAAAAAGAATTGATGCTTTTAAATTATGGAATTAGTGAAGAATATTAAATATGCCGTGGACTGCCAGAAGAATGAACAAATCTGTTTTGGAAGCAGTAGTGCCAGAATTCTCCTTAAAAGTAAGCATGGTGAAACTTCATCTCTCATTCTTTGGATATGACGTCTGCAGCCAGGACCAGGTGATGTTTGTACACAGCGTGGTTATGAGTCAGAACTG